AGGCCAGAAGAGGGCATCAGACTCTCTGGAGCTGGAGTTTCAGGTGGTGGCAAGCCTCTGTGGGAGTGCTGGGAACTGAATCCAGATCCCCTGCAGAAGAGCGAACTGCTGAGCTAGCTCTCCAGCCCCACCCAACTTATTTGTGTGTGTGACCAAAGTCTCTCACTGAGGAGGCTGGCTGGCCAGTGAGTTTTCAGGAATCTTCCTGCCTCTCCCTCCCCAACACTGGGATTACAGATATGCACCAACCTGCCCAGCTTTTTCACGGGTGCTGAGGATCTGAACTCAGCTCGTTATGCTTGTGTGGTAGGTACCTTACCGACTAAGCCATCCCCCAAGCCCCTAAAGCCACAAGTTTTAAGCATTGCAGATGTAGGGCTTTTACCCCCTACTCCACCTCCCACACAGCCATGCAAAGCAAACTAAATGGGCATTTGGGAGGCGAGGACATTCATTATTTAATAAAACTGTACAAACACATATCATCTCAGCTACAATAAGCAAGATTAAAGAGCTTATAAACTTTCAATTAAAAGATAATTTATGCGCATGTGGAATGGAATGCTGTGAGGAGCAGAGAAACTGTCCAGCTTAGCTTAGGGGGAGGGTGGGTGGCAGTCAGCGGGGGTCTGTAGACCGGAGTCTGCAAGCTCCGCCCCGAGCTGGATGCAGGTGGGGACCAAACTCCCAGTGGGAAATGGGAAGTGCTTTCTTTTGTCCTTTATCTGGGCCCTGTGGGATCTTCAGTGAGGCCTTGAGAAAAAAGACAGAAGCCAGTGTGTCCAGAGGTGTCAGCCAGCTGGTGCCTTGAGCAGTTGGTATGGACACAAGCAAAGGGCTGAGGACCCTTACATGCCAGGCCTGTGCCTTTTCAGCACTAAAACCCTGGTAGTTTTGAAAAGAGACCCCTGAGGACTCCATCTTCCTCAGCCACTCACTCCTGCCCCTCTCAGCTTCCTGATCCCTCGACCTATTAGAAGATCCCTGGGCCGTCTGCCTCCCTCCCACCCCTTCTCATCCCCTCCTTATTATCTTGAAATGGGTCCCCTGGTCATGGCCTCTCCCTATGTGGCTTGTTCAGTGTTGAATCCAGTCAGCAAGACAGCACAAACAACTCAGCCTCAGCCTGAATACTGGTTGTCTTCACTTGAACTAGAAACACAGTGCTGGCATCCTCTGGCTGAACCCTTGGGCTCCTCCTGCCTTGACCTGTGCATCCTGGGTCAAGGGCACCTTCAGGGCCAGGACAGCATGTGGAATGTTTCCCTTAATCACCTAGAGAGATCGGGAACCCTGATCATGTTTAGGAGTTACAAAACCTGCCGCAGCGCTGTGTACATGCAATTCTAACTTGACCAGAAGAGAAGCCTCTGTGTTCCCTGGACTATAATAGATTGTCATTCTTACAAGCACCAAGCAGTGGGAACCAGGACAGCATTACTAAGACAGACAGGCAAGTTCCCTGTCTTCCTAGGGCCTGGGTTTCCCAGCAGAGAAATAAGAGCTTTGATCTGCCCATCTGTGAGGCAGTGGGTCTCCTCTAGCGGGCCTGATCTGTGTGAGCCCAGCTTTCTGTAGTCTGTACAGGGGAGCTGAGCCTCTATTTCTCATGCATCCACGTCACTCACGAGTTACTTAGGGGACACCTATTAAGTGCCTCACTCCCTGAGCAGCTATCGTCAGTCACAGTGGCACCACCTGGCACAGTTTCTGTTCTGAACATGGTGTCTTGTCCACATATTTCCTTATCTCTTGCACTCAAGATCAAGGGCAGTGTGCTCTGAGGGCCTCAATGATGTCATGTCTGCAGTGGATTCTCTGTGTGCCCTACCACCTACCTCGGCCCCACTCCAACTCAATGCTACGTGTGGGTGCCCAGCACTTAAGTCACTTGGCTCTGCCCTGCCACAGGATGGAGGTCACAAGAATAGAGGTTTGATACCCAGGGCGGCCATCAACCAATGAGGATGGGGATCATGGCAAATGCCATCTGTCCTTGGGAGGGTGGATGCAGAGGACAAACCTCACAGCTGCACATAAGGTCCCCAGTGGGACCAAGTCAGGTGGGACTGTCTCCATATTGTACATTTTATTCACTTCTCTTCCTGCCTCCTCCCAAATCAAATCACCCCCTCCCCAGAACAGCCGCTGTTTCTGTCTTCCGTTCCAGTGGGTCTCAGGGGAGCCAAACCAGACACACTGCCTGCTTTTGTTCTCAGTGGCCGGTGCAGGGCTGCTGCGCTCTCCTCTGCGAGGCCTCCACGGGGGCTTCAGCCTGGGGCCTCCTTCCTTGGTCGCCTCTAGCTCTCATCTTCCTGCACTGTCCCAGCAATGTGCCACAAGCTGCACTGGGCTTCCTGTCCCCATCCATGAGAGAGCAAACTGGATCACAGATGCCCACCTGGTCGGGTGCCCGGCTTTATTGTCTATTTCCTGTGCTTGACTCCATCCCTCGACATCGGCCCCACCCTGTTCCATTCGCCGGTTCCCCTTGCCAGACGCTGTGAGACAGAGCCCCCTGCTTTTGGTCATGGTTCAGAAGAGCAGCTCCTCAGTTCATAAGCTGTAGGTAGGAGGATCTAGAGTTCAAGGTCAGCCTGGGTCCACATAGCAAGACCCTGCCTTTAAAAAAAAAAGTCACAGAATAGACACAGGGCTGGAGAAATGGCTCAGCACTTAAGAGCGCTTGCTACTTTTGCAGAGGACCTGAGTTCAGTTCCCAGCACCCACACTGGGTGGCTCACAACCATTGTTAACTGCAGCTCCAGGGGATACAATGCCCTCTTCTGGTCTCTGCAGGCACTGCAGTCATGAACACAAACCCCACCTCATATATATGTAATATATTGAAAATATAAAAGACAGGGGGCTGGAGAGATGGCTCAGCAATTAAGAGCACTGACTGCTCTTCCGGAGGACCCAGGTTCAATTCCCAGCACCCACATGACAGCTCACAACTGTCTGTAACTCCAAGGTCTGACACCCTCATATAGACATACATGGAGGCAAAACACCAATACAAATAAAATAAAAATAATTTTTTTAAAAAAAGACAAAACAAACCCAGCATAGGAAGCAGCTAACCCATCAGGTTGTCTCGTGTAAAATAACTATGACTATGGAAGCCCTTCCCCTCACCAACAAGAATTAACCCGTTTCCTTATTTTTCATTTCTGACTCCCATTGGCCCTTGCAGGGCCTAGGACACTCAAAGAAAGATTAGTAAGTACTTTGTCTTCTAGCATCTGCAGCTCCCAGCAGCTGCGGGGAATGAGAAAGACTAACAAATCCCATAATACCCACACTGATGGCCTTCCAATTACCTAGGTGGCTTTAAGATGAACTGCGGGTGACAAATGGGGCTGCCAGGCCCTGTGCTTAAAGTCTAATTACTGTGCCACTAGACCACACTCCTCACGGGAATGTGCATCTGCTTGTCTGTGGGAAACCCTGAGCAAGCACCTAGCCTCCTCAGGGGAGGAGGCCATCACATCATAGAGTAGGCCAGCATCTTTCAGCGCTCACCCTGAGTGACTGCTGACTGAGTAGCTGTACCTGACTGTGGGGGACCTGGAGCTTCCTGGGTCTCATGGGAGAGAGACAAGGTGTCTGTAGTATGCTGTGACCTGAGAAAGTTCCAGAGCCCAAACTCAGAAGCAGGCATCCATGACCACCTGGCCTCCAGGGAAAGCATGCATAAGACGGGCTGTCGAAGCCTGTTCCAAGCACAGCTTGCATGTATGTAAAAGACTTTATGTCACACATGAGCAAATGTATACATTTACAAGTGTTTGTGTGGGGTGTGGGGATTTAGCTCAGTGGTAGAGCGCTTGCCTAGCAAGCGCAAGGCCCTGGGTTTGGTCCTCAGCTCTGAAAACAAACGAATGAATGAATGAATGAATGAATGAATAAACAAATGTCTGTGTGTCATCAGGCAGTCTTGAAGAAGGCTCGTGTCTCCCATGTCTTTCTCTGCAACCTTTCCATTCATGGGTTCTCAGCTGCCTCCTCCAGAGAGAGCTCTTGCTACAAATGTAAAACAGACCCCGATTCAGGGCCAGAGGGACCCTTGAGGTCTGTTCCATGGTTTTTGTTCTCCAGGGTGTTCAGCATATCCTGGGCAGCCTGCTTCTGGGACAGGAGTCCACAGTGGCCGAACATCTACACCATTTACAAGACCCATGCGATCCTGGGGGCTGCTGACCTGCTTCATCCAATACCAGAGCTGTAAGGTCACCGCTCAGCAGAGAAAAGCCAGTATAACAGGACACCATATGTCTCGGCAACACTCACCAACCAACCAGCAACTTTCTCAAACAGCATTCCAAGCCAAGAGTGGGAGTGGTCACTGACCTCATGCTCTACGAAAGAGAAGCTCTAGAAGGCAACAGCTGGGCACAGAGCTGAAGTCCCGTGGACTTGCAGGATGGCACGGAGCTGACCTCGGGAGCTCTGCCTAGCCACAGTCTGAGCTGGCCCTACAAGACCCAAGTTCACCCAGGAAAGTGAGTACTACCAGGTGTGCAGCATCAAGAGGCATGTCTGTCATGATGTCATCTTCAGTTCCACATCTGACACAGGCCACTGCCCTGGTGCCCCAGCGGCTGCTGCCCTGTACACCGTGAGTAGCTCTTACTGCTAACGTGCAGAGCTCAAGACCTGCGGACAGCTTCTTTCTGTGGCTGTCCCGCTGAACAGGCACCTCTTCTTCAGGTGTCTATAGACTGATGGCCAGTGGCTCTGGCCATACCTGGAGATGATCAGAACTCGGTTCCTTCCCCATGCACCGTGACATTAGTGATTAGCTAGACAAGAGCGGACAAGAAGGAGTTAAAAAGCCGGGCGGTGATGGTGCACGCCTTTCATCCCAGCACTCGGGAGGTAGAGGCAGGTGGATCTCCATGAGTTTGAGGCCAGTCTGGTCTACAGAGTGAGTTCCAGGACAGCCAGGACTATTTTACAGAGAAACGCTGTCTTAAAAAAACAAAACAAAGAAGGGGTTAAAATTCAGGAATCTGGGAATATAGCATTTTATACTTGCAGCTTCCAGGGTAAGGATGCTTCAGCTGCCTCTGATACATACAATAGGGAAAGAACTAGATTCAGCCAGGCAGACCCCAGCTCCAGTGAACTAAAGCTCACTAAACTATGTCATTGGCATTGCCATTCTGACCCCGATGGACTTTGCAGGTAACTTCTAGGCAGAGACATGTGCAATGGACAGCAAGTCACATGGCTCTTGAAGTTATCCAACTTCAGAACTCCACCTTGGGGTCAGGAGGGAAAAGTTTAGGACAAGGAAAGAGCTCTCTCGTGACTCCTGTCTTGACTGCTTTGCATTCTTCCAGTGAAATTTCACTGGACCTGGGGATGCAGATCTGTTTAGCTTCTGCTACTACTATCCGTGAGCTGTTTGAATTCTTTCTCAAGGTGGTACAAGAACCAAGGACCCAACTCTCGCTGTGACACCAGGAGAGTGTTTTTCAGGATGGGCCAAGGCAGTGCTCAGGTGCCACTGGGAGGCCCCGGGGGTACGGACAGTGTATACAGTTGAGTCAACAGGCATCGGCCACTTCTGTGGGTTCCACCACCTGGCTGTCAGCATCATGGACTAGCTTACATAAAGCAAAGGCCAGCGTAAGCTGTAGTGAGGTGAGGTATGGCTGCCACATACCTCCAACAGATGCCATGCAGCCATGCTGGTGACAGTGTTGTGCTTCCAGGGAGCAACTAGGAAAGATGAGATTGGACAGGAAAACAGTTGGTGTGTCTGATGTCAGCAATGTTTTGTTCAGGCCACAGTCATAGAGAGAGAGAGGTCACACAGCTGGGTGGTGTGGTGATTGCAGCTCACACGGGCAGACCGGGCAGCATGAGAGACCATGGCTGGACCTGTCCTGCCATACCTCCATGTTTGTCCCCACATTTGACTACTTCACAGTGGACAGAAGCTCTGATCTCAGGTAATGATGCAGGAGACAGGGCAGAGCTAAGGATCAGGTCTGTCTGGCCACATCAGCCAGGAGACACATGCATGTCACATGGGTGTGGTAAGGAAGAACATCATGGTCTTAAGTCACAGGATAAAGGGGCTTAAAAGACGGCAGGAACTGCTGGCTCAGGTAGAGGGTGGGGCAAGTCCTGCCCCAGGACAGCCAGCCTGGTGTGTGGGCTTCCAGAGAACGTGCCTCCCAGGCTGGCGACTACGGCATGGGGAGACCTCAGCTAGGGCTCCAGCTGCCCTGGGTGGCCCCCAACTTTTGTGTTTCCCCTTGGTAAGACCCTTTCTTCCCCCATGAGGTTTTAAATGTCCTACCCCACCAGACCAGACTCAGCAATCAGAGCCCCTAAAAAGTCACATCTATTTTGGAGCACTCCAGGTCCCTAGAGCAGGGATGAGTCACTAGGACCACATCCAGCCGGAAAGGCAGAAGCTGTGTGAGTCGGCTGAATCACCTGGTCCAACTACCACTGCCCCCCCCCGCCCCCACACACATGCAAGCATCCCCCAATTCCTGCCTTCCTGAGGTCTCCAGTTCCCGAGTGGCCCACGCCTGCTTGTTGAAACATGTTCGCTACAGTGTCCCTCAGCTTTGAGGTCCCAGGACCAAGGTAGGGTCACTGACCCCATTTACAGTATGAGACACGGAGGCCTGCTGTCCTCAGGCTCAGCCAGTAGTCCTGCAGGCAGTGATGGGGCTGACTCCCAGAAGCAGCTTTTCCTGACATCTCTTGAGTCTGCAGCGTGCCTCCAAGTAAAGACAGCACGCAGGACAGTCACTGGCACAGGGGGTCCAGAGGGCCAGGCGTGCACCTTTGGGGCCAAGGAGGTTGAGGCAGCTTCTTGGTGCTGGTTGGGAAGACAAATGGTCTCCTTCAAGACCATCTGCAGTAGGTGAGCTTGCTTGGTGGACTCTCTTACAGGGCTGCCCACCGTAATGGAAGACTGGAAGGGGCGCTGGGGCCAGTGGTGAACCTCATGGAGCAGTCCTGGTACCAGTGGGACTGGCTGGACGCCCATTCTAGGTAACCCCCGCTGTCCAATGACCACATTTGAAACCTGTGTGTACGGGTTCACCAAGGGACAGATGTGATCAAAACCTGGAAGCACAGTCCTTCAATAAGAACCCACTCCCCCCCAAAAAAAAAGATGCTCAAAGTAATGAGTGGGAACAGATGAAAGGTTTTGATCATGCGGGGTGTGTGGGGGGGGGTGAAGACTGGGCCTCCAGCTTCCTCTCTGTCCCCACCGGCATCACTTCAGAGTAGAGAACTACCCACACAGGATCCAGCTGAGAACATTCCCGTGTCCTCCTTCATGGTAAAGGGACCTCTGGTGACCCATAAGCAATGAGCTGTCTGTCCCTCTCCTGGCAATCCACCAGCGCTCAGAGCAGGTATCAACCAGACCAGCGAGCAAGTCAACACAGGGAGTGGGGTCAGGGGCCAGGCAGGGCTCCTCAGAGCACACTGAAGCGGGGCTCTTGCTGGCGATGCAGGGACCCGGCTGCTGTGGGACCTGAGGCCTCACTGGAGCCCAGCTGCAGCTTCTCAGTTCCCGCTGGGGTCTCCTGGACAGCACTGTGGCTGCTGGCGGTGGCGCATGCTGCATGCCTCTGTGGCCTGGCTGCCTCGCACCAGCACAGCTTCAGGAAGGCTGCCCGGAACTTCTGGGACATAAGGCTGTAGATGACAGGGTTGATGGCACTGTTGGTGTAGACACAGGTGCGGCAGAACAGCAGGACCCAGGGGTCCAGGAAAGGCTGGGCCAGGAAAGAGTTGAGCAACACCAGTGTGCGGTAGGGGGTCCACAGCACTGCGAAAAGCAACACTACCACCGCCAGCATCCTGGTGGCCTGAGGAGAGGAGGGGGGGGAGGGGAGGCATGGCTGTGAGACACACTCACCAAGCTGACCACAGGGATCCACATACACCAGATGCCCAAACCAGCATCTTGGGGCATCTCTCAGAACTGGGACTCAGACAGGATCAGGACAGCCACCACCCTGAGCTCCCCCAAATGTTGGATTTCCAAGGACACAATTCTATTACCAAGTCCCTGGCCCCAGAGAGGGTCCCCGCTGTGACTTTGGGCATGCCCCCACCTCATTTTCAGCTACGCATCCCTCTTTCTCTCCCCATTCCTGAACGTTCCCATTTTATAGCTTCAAAGTCCCTCCTCTGCTCAGCTTGCCACCTCAGCCTCAACCTTGGTTGTTCCTCTTCCTGGCATGCTTCCCCACAGCCAGCTTGGCTTTCGCCATTGTCAACCTCAGAGCTCTATCCATTCGTCACCTCTTAGCAAGGCCTCCTGAACTATCCCCTGACTCCTGTTCCCCAGCATCATTTGTCCCCACGTCTCCTTCCTTCCTGTCTTTGGACAGGCTGGTGTTTACTTGGTTCTACTGTAGTAGTTCAAGGAGGGCATATGACTGTGTTTCCATGTTCTCCCTGTGTTCTAGCACCCACCGGGCATATGTAAGGGCTTGGCAGGCATAGCATAGATATATGAAGGTATGGATGGATATATTTATGTATGTATGTATGTATGTATGTTTTTATGTATGTATGTATGTATGTATGGATGGATGGATGGATGGATGGATGGACGGACAAATAAGAGACCAAGTGACTGCTCGCTTATCTACTTTGCTAGTCATATCCTGTGTGTTTTATGCTCTTTTGCAAATCTGTGCCTCTCCCCATAATTCTACCCACATACAACCCCCACCTGTACCCAGGAGGACTCCTAACCTGCTTCCTGGAGGACATAGAGCCCTTGGACCTAGAGCAGCTGCCTGGTGCACCCTCACCCTGCCCGCTGGGTTGTCTCGCCTTCTGCCAGGTCTCCTGAGACAATGGGCTCTGAAATAAAATCCTTCCGATGAACCCATAGAGCACCATGGTCACCAGCAAGGGCGCGATGAAGAAGATGGTGAAGTCCAGCAGGTAGATGGGCAGGTAGAGGCCTCGGGACACCTTGTAGCCACATTCCAGGCGCTGATTGTCATGGACATTGAGGTCCACCAAGAAGAACCAGAGTAGGCAATAGAGGGATGTGACCCCCCAAATGCCTGCGATGATCCGTTTAGCCCGGGCCACAGTGCACACAGTCTGTGCTTTCATTGGGTGGCAAATGGCGATGTACCTGTGGGGCACAGGCAAGGCATGTTGGCTCCTGAGGTCGTAGGACTGCTTGCCTTATGTCTGAGACATCTGTTCCGAGCTGAGCCTTGAGTAACGGTGGCTGAGCTGTACTTTGCAAGGGCAGAAGTAGAAAGCTGCAAAGGTTTAGGGTAAGGAGAGGCAGAACAAAGCCAGCCTCCCAAGAGGAACAGAAAGCAGCCTGGGCATGTCCTGTCCTGTGACTCCATGCCTCTCAAAGGCACCTTTGACCGCCATATGTGGTCAAAGCGTTTTCTGCTACCCTCCACCAAAGGCGGGGAGTTATACTGTACAATGCTCACAGGCAGAGCTCTTTATTGCTCACACTTAGGCCCCTGGGGACAATCACATGGTACAGATGAGACATCCCCATGCTGACTTGTCCCCAGATTGTAGAAGCAGACCCAGTGTTTGGATATGGCAGACCTGGGCTTTGTTCAGCTTCTGAGTAGCCCTAACAAGTTACTGAGCCCAAAGCCTGAACTCCTGCTGTGGATACAGCTGAGTTTGACCCCGAATTCATGCTTTGGATCAGCATGTTCAACCACTGGGCCACTTGTCTTGGGTGTTAAAATCAGAGGTAAGCCAGACATGGTGGTGCACACTCATAATTCCAGGACCCAGGAGGTTGAAGCAGTAGGATCGCAGGGAGTTTGAGCCAGCCTCAGCTACAAAGAGAGTTCAAGGCCGGCTTGTTATTCCAAGTATGTATTCATGGTAAAACCCTGTCTCATAAAAAGAACAAACAAGCATTCAAACAAAAACTTCAAGCTGGGGGAGACTCAAGAATCGCACCATTGCTGAGCACAGTACTGCAGCCTGTTATTTCTGTTTCTTGAGAGACCGAGACAGGAGGATCACAAGTTTATAGTCAACCTTAACAAGTCCATCTCAAGTTTAACTTTTCTAAAGATTGGAGGTATGGCTTGCCTCGTAGGTGGGAGACCAGGGTTCAATCCCCAGTAGTGGGGGTTGATGAGAAAGACCATCCAAGTGCCTGTGTTCCGGATGGGAAATCCAGACTCAAAGGAAGGCAGGGACTTTTCCTGATACCCTACAGTAATCTAGAAGCAGAGCAAATGCCCACATTTGCTGGTTCTTTGAGCACCCCACACTGGCCTAGCTCCCCTTCTGTTCAGTGGAGCCTCAATTTACCAGGAATCCCTGCTTGAATCAAGACTCCTTGGATTCTCATTAAGGAAGACAATGAGAAGGGAGAAGGCATGGGGTAGCCTGTGGGTACTTACCTCTCCACAGTAAATGCCAGGATGGAGCAGGAGGAGACATTGATGCCTAGATACTGGAAGTAGGTGATACCCAAGCAGCCAGCATGTCCATAGATCCAGTGCCCCACCAGGCTGTCAGAGACATTGGGCAGCCCCGCGGCCACCAGCACAATTAAGTCAGCTAGAGCTAAGCTGACCAGGTAGCAGTTGGTGGGCGTGTGCATGTCTCGTGAGGTCAGCACCACCAGGACCACCATGGCATTGCCTACAATGCCTGTGGTGCACACCAGGAGCACTAGGAAGACTGAGACCACCTTGTACTCTGGCAGGCCCAGAGTGGTATCACCATGAACCAGTGAGACATTGCTGGGGCCGTCCATCTTGCCGGTGTTTTCTGTGATGCCCTGCAGGCCTGGAGGGGTAGGAAGAGGCAGCTCTGAGCGGCAGCCATGGGTTGGGCTGGACTACATTCTGGCTCTGGATCCTATGGATACCTACCCAGGACACTGCATTCAGAGACCTGGTGCTGTGTAGCATGGATACTGCCCTGGGGCAGGTCGTGGAGTGTGCATGGTATTCTGCCATTCCCACCAATAACAGTGAGTGGTGCCACCATGAAGCTTCCTTTCCTGTGTGGATGCAGGAAACAGCCCACTGTGGAAGGTGGAGGGGACCTTATATGTTGCCAAGCTCTCTACCGAGAAAACTGAGGGCTCAGCTGCTGAGTCTACAGCATCCCTGCGCCTCAGCACACCCACCCGTGGACGGAAAGGATGGACACCTGCTTCTCAGGGATGCTAGGAGCATAGAAACAGTGAAGCCTAAAATGTCCCTGGCCTTCACCTTGATAAGCACTCTGTGTCTGTTCTTCAATATTATTTAATTTTTTCCTTTTTATTTTTCGATGTGCATGGTGTTTTGCCTGAATGTATGGCCATGTACCTAATACCTCTAGAAGCTATAAGAGGGCATCAGATCCCCTGGACTGGAGTTACAGACAGTTGTAAGCTGTCGTATGGGTACTGGGAATTGAACCTGGGTCCTCTGGAAGAACAGCCAGTGCTCTTAACTGCTGAGCCATTTTTCCAGCCCCCTTTAAAAATACTATTGTGAAAATCTAAGTCTCAGTTTTCCCATCAGTCTAGTGGGTAGTGACAGCAGCTTCCTTCCAGGGAAGGGTGTTGGACACATTACATTATGGCTCCAGGATAGATACTGGGTGACCCCTGCTGAGTGAGTAAGCAGGGAAAGGGGCCAGTTACAGCTCTGGGAGTCTCACAGGCCTGGGGGTCTTTTGCCACAGGAGTTGCCAATGGTTTTAAGCAAAGGAGCAACATGCTCTAATATGCAGCCTTAAAAGGGCTTCAGGGGACCCACAGATCCCAGGGAAGTCAGTAGAGGCACAGGTAGAGGTGAGGGGCCCAGGTTGACAGTCAGGTGAGACAGATCAGGGCTCAGCCAGGCAGTAGCTGGGGAGGGGATAAGGACAAATCAGTGTCTCTCTCAGGAGATGGCATGACAGGGCATTAGACAGCATCAGGGCCATCTGTGGGGAGTGAGAAGATGCTGGGATGGGGCATTAGATAGCATCAGGGCAGTCTGTAGGGAGGAGGAGATGCTGGGATGTGGCATTAGACAGCATCAGGGCCATCTGTAGGGAGTGAGGAGATGCTGGGCGGGGCATTAGACAGCATCAGGGCCATCTGTAGGGAGTGAGGAAACGCTGGGACAGGCTCAGATGGAAAGACCAAGAAAGGAGTCGATGTGGGTCAGGTGGATGCATGCTTGAGAGGCCATGGTTAAGGCCCTATGGACCCTCACTGGGGTGCAGAATGGGGAGGCATCAAGGAAAATTCTAGAGTCAGGGCTGGAAGTGGAAATACAGCAGCCGTCAGCATAGGGGGATGGATGGTTCTGCCACCATGTGGAGAATTATCTTGGGATGCAGCTGCTGCTGCAGTCCTATAACATTCCAAAATGCACGATGTGTTCCAGCCTGTGACTGAGTGTGGGGGAGCTCGGCTGCCGAGCCTGAGCAGCCAGAGCAGCAGTGCCAGCCCTTGAGCCTCACGGACTCTGGGTCTTCATTTGCCTGCAGGAATGCAAGTGTCTGAGGCTGAGGGCAGAGAGACTCAGAGGAGCCAAGTACAGGAAGTGAGTGTGAGTTCTGAGAACAATGGAGTACCAGCTCCCAGGGATGACTACGAAGGAGTTGTGCTGGGATCCAGGGAGGGCAGCCACCAACCCAGGAACAAAATGAGCGTTCAGCTTGGAACGCACATACACATACATGCCACATGTGACACACAGTGCAAACTCCACACTACATATACATAGAACACCAGATACAACACACTCAACAGACACAAACATACACCTTATAATATATAACACATTTAACATACACACACAGTATATAATATACAACATATCCAACAGAAACACACATACTACACCATACACTATACTCAGCCCTACATACCCACACACCTCAACACTTGTTCCCCATCAGGGTGATTGGCATGTAGACAAATGCAAAGCTCCCCATGGTATAAACCCTAAGATGACCTGGAACAGGCAGATGATCATCTCACCCAGGGCCAGGTGCTTATCTACTTCTGTTCAACCTGATGTACAGTCCCACAGCACTACTGGCCCAGGACAGGGACAAGAGCATCAGGACAAGGCAGGGCTTAAAGAGAAGCATTGCCTCCACAGATGCTACTCACATACAACACACAGTTGTACACAGGACACATGTCACACACAGCCATACACATGCAGCACAGAGCACATGTCTGTACCCACATAGCACACATACACACACAATGTTCCTGTGCCTACACACATGCAATGCACCTGTGCTGAGCATACATTCAGGTATACACATGCAAACACAAAAATACAAACCAAAAATTGTACCTGACTCACAATGACTGCCCACATAGGCATTACAGACCTTACACACGTGTGTAACATGCCTTCTGTGTACAGACTTGACATTCAGCTCTGATGTGCATGCCCTGTGCCCACAGTACAGGACACACACACACACACACACACACAAGCTGACTTTCCACGGCCCAGGCATATACACTGATCACTCCCACATTCTCACATGGAAACATACATGATATTCCTGCCCCTACAGACGTTTCTACATGGCTGGGACACTCTTGAAAACCAGCCCTTTCCGGTTAGCTGGAGCAGAGGACCACAAGATCTGCAGGATCTGGCAGCTGCTTCAATCTCAGTAGCTCTTTCTCTGCAGTCAGCAGGAAGCTGGTAACCAGGGTGGAATCCAGAGACCTCACAGGGCTCTTCCAGATGTGGGAGCCAGAGCTGCAGAGGTCCATTCTGACGTCTTGTCTCCAAGGACTCTCACCTGCTACTATACCTCTTCTGTAGATACCTCCATGGGGACCACTGTATACAATCTCCCGGCCAGACCCCTCCCCTCTAGTAGCCCTTACACCTCAAGAGAAACTTCTAAGGTCAGAGAACTTACCCAGTGAAGACTCAATGCATTTTCCTCCTTCCTGGTCGGGAGGGGAGGGAGGGAAAAGAGAAAGGGAGGAGGGGGAAGGGGAGAAGGCAAAGAATCAGGGAAAGAAGGGAGAGAGAGAGAGAGAGAGAGAGAGAGAGAGAGAGAGAGAGAGAGAGAGA